GAGATCAAATTGACAACAGCAACTCAAAAGGTCTGATGGGAAGCCTAGGAGGCAGTGAGTTGAAGATAATGGTGATGGAATAATTTGGAAAAGGATAGTGAGAATAGCAGCACAACTGGAAGAAGGTAATCAATGTGACTAAATTGTACATGCAGAAACTTTTGAAACGGTGTAACTTTGGCTATGTATATTTTCACCAAAATAAAAAGTCCTCCAAGGTCGAGAAGGGGGAGTGTTGACATGTTGTGGGGTTGTTACCCAATGCATAAAACGATATGTGTATTGACTATTTAATGAGAAACTACTTGTTCTGTAATCCTTCATCTGAAGTACAATAAAAAAAATTAAAAAAAAGATTTACAAAAAGAACCTAAAATATATCAGCTCAAACAGAATCATTTCAATAATGCTCAGCATTATTCTAATAGCTGCTGAGAAAGGCAAAAGTCAGACATAGTAGAACAAATATCATGAGGGCAATGGTTGGTTTGGTTTCAGAACTGTAGGAACACAAGACCTGACATTTGGCCTATAAATGATGCTAAATTACATTGCAAAATTATTTTTAGTGACTACAGTGGTCACAGCTTGGTACAAAGGAAGAGCCAGGAGCTTGGGGCTAGAAATGACAATAGGGCAAGGTTAAATCCATGAGTTCTAAAGGGCGACTTCTTGGCCAGTAGGTTAGTTCAATATTATAGTGCATTACTTTTGTATAACACATTTCTCTCTTTAACCTTCCCTTTGTCACTCTTGGATGCTCATTGTGGACTTCTTTCATGGCATTGATTATTTCTCCCTGATGACTAGGAACAATGATTCTGCCCCCACTTTGTCTTGGAAGATTAAACTTTTCACTTTCAGGAAAGACATGTAATTTACCAGAAAGCTACGTTTTGTTTTCAATAACCGAAGTGCTATTTTGTCAGTACTTTGTCCTGTTTAGTACCTAGCCTTGCTGTTGGGTTTGAACTGCCATTAAAAACAGAATAAGCAATGATAAATGTTTGTTTCTACTTTTTAACAATTAAATCTTTTTCTTTGCACGCCTCTCATGGTCCCTGCCTCGTAACATATCCCAGTTGCCCGAGGGCAGTTAGGTGAGTGAATTTATACAGCTACATAAAGCTGGCTTTTTTTTTTTTTTGAAATCCATGAATCAGAATGATTCGGTTTTCCCATGAAGGAAATCATTTTAAAATACAGGCAGAATGTACCATGAGTACATTTTAGTGCCGATAATGACTGCACTACTATTATATAAAATCAAAAGCCCTGTACCAAAAAACAAACCCACTGCTGTCAAGTAAATTCTGACTCATAGCGACCCTATAGGCCACAGAAGAACTGCCCCATAGGGTTCCCAAGGCAGTACGGTTAGATTGCTCTGTGTGTTTTCTGGGATTGGCCCAGAGCCAGTATTTACTCCAAGCAAAGACAGAGCGAGGATAAAGTGTAATATATCTAATTATAAGAAAGGGGAAAAATACTAACTCTCTTCCCTTGTCCCTACCATCCTCTTCGCCAGGCCTAATGAACTACATCAAATTTAAACCTGTGATCTTGGAACTGACAGTAAAGAGACTGAACTAATTCATTTGATTAGACATTTTAATAAGGATGGGATAGTAATCAAAATCACAAGTCTAAAGTCAATGGAGGGATCAGAAAACCATAAAGCCTGGTCTAAGAGGAAATGTTTTTGACTGGCTATGGATGGGCTACTGCACCAGTGTCACTTAGAAAAATAACATGACTTTCAGCTCTTACAAATACAGACTCACCTCACCAGACTGTCAATGAAGTTCACAACTTTTTCTCTGAGTACTTCAAACTTGGTTTGCTTCTTACTCGTTCTTCTCAGCTCCTTCATTTCCAGCAAGGACTGTGGATGAAAGACCATACCTTTTTTCTTATGATCCTGAGACAGAAAACTTCTCTCCCATGGAGGAGAGCCCTCCTACTTGGATACAAGCAGCTTGATGCCCTTTCCATAGACAGATGTGCAGAGAAAGAACCAGACCAAAATGGGTTCTGTTTATTTTTCATTTTTAAGGTCTAGAAAGAACCTCCTTCCTAGGTATTTTGCTTCAAACACATAAAAAGTGAATTTTCAATGAAGGTGGAAAAGGGCAGTTCATTTCAGTACTGAGTTACACGGCAGAGTACTCACTACTTACACTGCATTACTTCATTTAAGAAAAGGACTTACAAGAAGAAAAAACAAAATCCTTGCCTTTTTTGCTATACTAACAGAACAGATTCCATGTATTTTATTTCACTTAGATTAAAACTTTACATTTATCATAACTTGGTATCATGGTATATCATCCTAAAGTTAGAAATATCTATCTGAAAAAGAATATATTAGATAAACTGGCTTACTTCCAGCTCTAAAATGAATATGCATAAAAGAAAAATCAAGAATTCAAGTATTTAAAACTAATGAATTAGGTCCTTCTGAATCACTCAGTTCGATCAAAAAGAAAACATACATCAAATAATTAGATTCCCTTTCTGATTTTTTTTTTTTTTTTCAGAATTCTTTTTTTTTTTTTTTTCCAAAATAAGCCTAGACCATTAAACAAGTGAAATTCCAACCAATAAGTCTTCTCCAGCAGCGAGAAAAACTATAGTTACTCAAAGCTGATTCTGCCAGTGGAGCTGGCGATAATAGGAAGGCGGAGGGCAAAATCATGGTGGAGGGGCTGGGGCTGGGAAGAGGGTTGGGAGTGAGGCCAGGTCCCTGCCCATCGGAATGGGGCCGCCTGCGTTTCCCCTTGTTGCTGATTAATTCTCTTTAGTTCACTCTTGCTGAGCCTGCTTCCACCTGTGTTGGCTAGTAAATTCCAGATTCCATACATGTAGAGTGAGGATGGCAGTGAGATAAACAGGATGTTCAATTTATAAGTGAGTTACAAAGCCTGCTTTGTTCCTGGTTGTGCTTTAAAAATTAAAACAAAAACATCCAGGCACAGCTAATCTAGAACACAAACTGAAAAAAACGGGGAGTCACAGAATGTAGCTGGAAGAAAAAGAAAAGTGACCTGACCTTCTGAAGATGATAGAGGTCTGTCTTCTGAAGCCCCTTTGGCTGTGACCCAGAAGCATCTTCTTCCTCTTTGGCTTCCGCTTTTAATACAAAACCAATATATAGCAATTAGGGTAAATCCATTCACATCAAGAGAATAAACATTTCTAAACCAAGGAAAATAAAAGTTTCATCTATTTTTTTTTTGGTAATATGGCAAGGGATCAAAGTTCTATCAAATAAATGATTTCTTCTACAAGCTGAAGGTCAATACATGTTACATAATTTATGGTCTAGTGAGATCTTCAAAAAATCTGCTACTGAATTTTAAAAGTGTTACCACAATGAAAACAAAGCAAAACCCCCCAAACCAACAAAAAGTCCCAAATTCTTGTGGTGTTATAAATAGCTTTAAAAAAAAAAAAAAAAAAATCAAACAAACTTGAATTGTATTCCTTTGATTATGCCAAGATTATAAACTACACAAACCTACACTCTGGCAAACTTGGCCTAGATCTTCCAATTAGCTGACTATTTTTGACACAATACTATTTGAGTACGAAGAAAGTGCTGTGACAATTTTGACATAATCCACTAAAACATAAACTATACCATGGTTCTTCGGCAAACGGAAAACCACATCTGGTAAAATGGGTAGATGTACTTCTTCTATAGAGCATGAGGTTCTCATACCCTCCTAGTCAGAATGAACTCGATGGCAACAGGTTTGGTTTGGTTTTTAGTGTAGGGCAAGTTTTAGGAACTTCACACTCAACTGGCTTGTCTGGCCTAAACCTAAGGCAGAAGGATGCAGCTGGAAAATCTGCATTGTTCTCAAAGAATAAATTTCTTTTTGGATAATTCCTGGTTCAGAAAGATATAATTTAAGGTTAAAATATCTAATAAATTCTTCTTCTCTCTTCACTAAACATGTAGCAGAGCCTTAAAAATAAAATAAATCTGATATGACACTGTGCCCTCTTCCAACTATAATTTTAAACCCAAACTGTAAGGTGTAGTTAAGTGTCAAGGAACCAGAGATGCATACAGCCAAATATTTCAATGTGGGGGAGGGTGGTTACTTTCACTTTATTATTCACCACCACCATCCGCCAGTTTGTCGTACTGTGGTGGTTTGCGTGTTACTGTGATGCTGGAAGCTATGCTACCAGTATTTCAAATACCAGCAGGGTCACCCATGGTGGACAGGTTTCAGTGGAGCCTCCACGCTAAGAAGGACTAGGAAGCAAGCCCTAGAGATCTACTTCCAAAAATTGGCCACTGAAAACATTATGGATCACAACAGAATACTGTCTGGCTCGCCTGCTCTGGACACATCATCAGGAGGGATCAACTGCTGGAGGAGAATACCATGTTTGGTGAACTAGGGGGCCTGAGGAAGAGGGAGACCTTTGTTGAGATGGACTGGCACAATAGCTGCAACAATGGACTCAAACATGTCAGCGATTGTGAGGATAACACAGGGTAACATTTCATTCTGTTGCACATAAGGCCTCTATGAATCAGAGCTGACGCAATGGTAGCTATCTATCATTAACAATGTATCATTTTTGAAAAGACAATGTATCATTCTTAAAAAGAAAGAAATACAGGCATTTCTTTAAGATAATAGTTTTGCTTCAACTTGTAAAATTCTTTATTCTTAAGGCTGTTAATCATTTTCATCTCTTGACTTTCCCATTTCTAAAAGCTATATTCCTTTATTTAGTACCAGCCCATCACAGAATTTGTTCACTAGCTTATGTTACATGAGCTATAATTAAAAGTATTATAGTATCTATGGTTTCTTTTTACAAAAATCCCATGAGCCCCACTTTCTAAAAGATTGAAATTTACCTGATTTATCTTAAGTTCTTCTAAGTCTTTTAACTATGCCCTTAAGGGTGACCTCTCACTGGCCCAGTGATCATAATTAGAGGGCACTGAAATTGTGCATCAGTGAGGAAAAAGAAAAAAAAAAAACAGAATGAGCTAGCAGTTAAGAGAGGTGGGCCACTGACTAGCTGTGAGATCTTGAACAAGTTACTTTCTCTTGCTAGGCTTTAGTTTCTGTTTGTAGATAGACTCTATGATCTCTATGATACCAACTTCTAGCCCTTCAAAATTCTGATGATCTGAAAAGAGGTTCAACTCATGCTGCAGTGGGCAAAAGAGCAATGCCTACACATAACTTGGAAGGAACTCCTCTAGTCCCTCTGGAATACTTATTCTGCCTGCTCATGCCACTCCAGTCAGGCAAGCTTTCTCTTCCATCATCCACTCACTGAGCTCATCAGTTGCCTAGCACTGCAGCCATGGTAAGACATGGAGGGATTTCAGCAAAAGCACTTTCTTATATCCAAAGGATTTTCAAGACAAGAACACTTGCCAAACAAAGAAAGGATTAAAATGAACATTCCAAATGAGATATTTTTTCCACCATGCCATGTCCAATCTATGTTCTCATACACCAAGCTGCCTCTTTACTCAAACTCCATTAAAACTTTTTACAAATAGGGGAAAAGGAAAAGGTGCACATCATTTTGCTGTTGTTGTTGTTCTACCAAAAGCATACCATACTTTGGTGCTAAAAACAGAGCAAGAGAAGACCCCATAAGAAGTTCTTGATCACTGTCAATCCATGGCACACCAACAGAACAAAGAAGACCTGGAGCGTTAGAGAACACGGCCACCTATACATTCCGGCACCCCAGGCATTTAGCAGATACAAATGATTATGTGGAAGTCGTACTAAATAAAGAAAACTGTAGCCCTCCAACACTGATGAGTGCCAGCCTGCCTCAGATCATTTAGGACTGAAAGACTCATGCTTTTATAAAATCCGATTAGAGTAAGCCTCATGCATGTTTTGGTAATCAGCATACCAGTGATCCTCATTGCTGTGAAAGCAGTTCACAGCTATTAATTTTTCTGGCTTATAAATGATTTATGCAGTGTTTTTGAAATCTACAAAGAACCTGATGAAATGTTTAAGGAAAAAAAAATCTAACCGGAGTCCTTAATTATGATGTCCTGCTACTCTCTCCAACCTTCTTTTTGTTTTGGTAAGTCCTCCAAACTGCCCATCTGGATAAATAATTTTTTTTTTCTATCCATCTGATGCGCTTCACTGTTTCAACTAAATTTGGAAGAGAAACATTTGGCCTATTTGTGATTGTCAAGATGTGATATTCTGAGACTTGGTGTAGTACTGACTGTGATCATGAACTACTTTCTCTCTTCATCTCTCAGCATGCAGGAAAGTGGGGTTTTCCATGTCGTTTTAGTTAAATGACTATCATAACCAGTAAAAATGGCAGGACATTATACTCTTACCATCAAGGCTCTGAAACTGGGCCAGGAATTCCTCTATTCTCTTTGCTGTGCTGCCAAACTGCTTTCCAGAAGACGATTTAAAGACATCCAAACATTTCTGAAGTATGATCATCAGCTCATCCTTTGCCAACATCCTAGAGCAAAATCAGTGACAGGAGATGTAATATAACTGGAAAATTAACTACTTAAAAACCATTTTCTACACAGTCAATGTTTGTGCTCAATGTATCGCACATTTGGAAGTATTCAGAACAGTTCTCTTGATAAAGCTCAGCACAGGAAATTTACAGATCTGGGTTCATGGCCTGGCTCTGACACTTTCTATGTTTGTAACATAGAACAAGTTACTAAACATCTCTGATCTTACGTTTCCTTGTCTGTAAAGTGGAAATAAGAACTTACATATTCCACAGGTTAGGTGGGAACTTAAAAATTAAATGAGAAGATGCATTTGAAGAACCTAGCACAGTGCTTATCACACAGTAGGCACTTGTTAGTTCTCCTTTCCTTCTGATCTAAATGTAAATAGGAGAGAAGAAATTTCTACCAAGGATATGACACTTCTGCTAAATGCAAGCTTATCTGAAAGGAGACCAAAATTATACGTATCACAATCATTTCTCCAATTATTACCATTTTAGCTATGCTTTATATCTTCTCTGGGTTTTATAAATACCAGTAAACAAGGTAAGCAATTCTGCTTGTTTTACAGCCCAGGCAGAGTGGTTGAGTAACTCACTCAAGGCTGTAGAACAAATTGTTAGAAATGGAGACAGAACACAGATAGTCTGGAATTAGGATCCTGTTCTCAGAGCCACAATTTACAAGATCTCTCTACTAAGATCATATTCAGTAACAGAATCAAATGGAATCAGGTCAAGGTTAGTAATTATTAAGGGGCATGATACAGATATATAAACTATTTTTGCAAATGGTTGTAAATCATTAAGACTGCAATGATTAAAGTACTAATATTAACCACAAAGAAATAATCAGACAAGTGCAGAATGTGGGGCATTCTGCAAGACAACAATCTTAGGTTTGATATTTTTCATAATAAAAGATTTGTGGAGAACACTAATATTGCTAAATTCTAAAAAAGCAACTATACAAAAAATTGTATAAAGCAAGTAGACTATCACTATTGGGAAATTAAGCTGGTTAAAATTTTTCAACAAAAATTTAAACTAAAAAAAAAGTTATATATTCAATAAATATAGAAACTGACAGAGGTGCACAAAAAGTAAACTTCTCCCTGGTTTTAAGAAAAAGTATAAAATCTTCCCTTCTTCCTACAACAATGAAGTAATTATCCAAAATGTAATCTTTACCTGTGAATGAAAGATAGCTAAGAAGTCAGAGAAAAATAAGCCAAGCAATTAATTCTTGACTACATTTGAGACTATTTAAAATTTCTGGCTATTTATTGCCCAGATGGAGTTTAAACCGTATATAGAAGAGAGTTAACTCAAGGTCAGATACACCTGAATAATCTGTTATACCTGACCTTTAGCCCTCTTCAAGAAGACAAGCTCAGCATTCCCAGTGTCCAAGGAATCACCAGCACTGGCTTGCCTGGGAGGGGTCAAGAGGCTGAGGTAATGCTGGTCGGAGGTCTAACCGAGGATTGAACATTGAGGATTAGCTTCTCAGACTGCAGGCAGCCACAACTCAAAGCCATTCTGAGCTCAAAATAGTTGACCTAACCCATTTTCCATTTATGTGAATACTGATGAAGGTCAAGCCTAGCCTATTATCTATTCTCAGGTGCCAGAAAAAATGGCATTATGTCATATAATTTTGAAACCAAACTTTATTAGTCGTAACTTAAAAAATTTTATTGTGTTAAAATTTGCCATTTTAACCATTTTTAAGTGTACATTTCAGTGGCATTAATTACATTCACAAGTTGTACACACATCACCACTATTTCCATTAGTCATAACTTCTACTGTGGCATTTGATTGGAGGAGGTAGATCTTTCACCTCCATGTAACCTCTAGGGATTCAGATAATTATTACTCCTTTTATTCTTAGCCAAAGATTCTTATTGTTTCAGAGTAGGAAAAGATCTTACACTTTCCCAAGTACTCTGGTTTAATGAAAAAACAACAAAATTTGAGGAAAAACTGATTAGAGCTAATAATTTGATAAATTCATTAATTAAAATTTCTTTTAGTTAAATTATATATGCATGTATAAAATTAAGAATCAGTGAATTATCATCACTGTTATTCATCATCATTCTAGAGTCTAATCACTACAATAGATTAAGAAAAACAAGAGGTTTAAACATTAGAAATGAAGACAAAATTTATTATTATTATATTTGATGTAGCTGTAAAGTTAGCAAATCCAAGAGAACTGTAAAAGTATTGTTGTTGTTAGGTGCCGTCGAACTGATTTTTGACTCAGCAACTCCACATGACAGAACAGAATTGCCCCCATAAGGTTTTTTAAGCTGGAATCTTTACAGGAGCAGATCACCAGGTCTTCCTCCCTTGGAGGCACTAGGTGAGTCTGAACTGCCTTTCAGTTAGCGCTCAAGTGCTTAACAGTTATACCACCAGGACAATGTAAAAGGATATGTGATATAAGACACACACATATGTACACACACGCATACATATACATGTAATCAACAGTTTGTATTACACTATGTAATGGAAAAAAGAACATTTTCAAAATGGCAACAAGAACTACAGAATGCGCAGTAGTACGCTTTGTCACAAATGCGTAAACCAAAAACCAAACCCTTTGCCATGGAGTCGATTACGACTCATAGTGATCCTACAGGAGGACAAGGTTTCCAAGCAGTGGCTGGTGGAGTCGAACTGCCAATCCTTGGGTTAGCAGCTGAACTCTTAAGCACTGTGCCACCAGGGCTTAACAAATGTTTAAGACCTATATAAAAATTCAAAGTCCTGAATAGATGAATAGACATTTTAGGTTCTAAGACTTAACATTGTGAAGATATAAATTGCTTATTAATTAATCCATAATTTTAACACTATTTAAAACAAAATTCCAAACAGCATTTTTAACAACCCAACAAAATGGTTCTAAAATTTATCTAGAATAATTGCTCCTGAAAAAAAGGAACAATGTGTGTTGTCTAAGTGTGTGCAGTGGGGTGTATCAAAAGGTATAAGCTACAATGATTAAAACTACATGGTACTTGTATAGGAATAGATAGGTCAATAGAAGTTAATAATAAGAGTCCAGAAAGAGATCAAGGTATACATGGGAGTTTGGTAGATGACAGAGGTAGCATTTCAAATCAATGGGGAACAGATATTAAGTATTAGAATTAACTAGAAAAAAATTATTATAAACAAAAGTATATTTCAGCTAGAATAAAAATTAAAGCGTCTATGTTCTGAAAGCAGGGGACAGAACTAACTCATCAATCATAAAATACTAGAACAAAAATATTGAAGACTGTTAATATCCAGCACCAGCAAGAGCATGGGAAAACACTGAAACATTGTTGGTACAAGTGTACACAGGTGCAGCAGTATTTACCTTTTAGACTCAAAAGGTTTACATCTATGTATTTATTTTGTGGAAATAATTATACAAATGTGGAAACACATACTTACCTTGGATACTCACTGTAGTACTGTTTGTAGTAGTAAAGAATTACAATCTAAATATATGTGACATCTAAATATATATCAAACAAGGGATTGATTAAATGTTACACTTTTGAAACACGAGATATTATACAAAAAGAACCATGAAGTAGGGCAATATGTAATACTAATGAAGACAGCTAACATTTATATACGCACATATATGTGTCAGATGTCATTTGATCCTCACAACACCCTATGATGTAGGTACTATTATTATTCCCAGTTTAAAGATGAGAAAACAGAGGCACAAAGTACTTATGTAACTCATCCAGAGTCCCAAAACAGGTAACTGACAAAGCTGGGATTTGAACCCAAACAATCTAGCTTGGCATCCACGCCCTTAATGACTATGTTATACTGAACCTCAAGACACGGCATGCATGGTAGAATATTAGGTGTAAAACAACCACCATGATAAAAGCAAAACCAACCAACAAAAAACCCCAAAAAACAAAAAATGCAAGTTGTGGAACACTATATATACTATGATTTAATACTTGTTTCTGCTGGAAAAAAATCTAGAAGTACAAAGTACTAACAGTGGATGACTGACTTTCAAAGTTATATAACTCAAGTGGTAATATCAGAAGAGGGCTGTTATTTTTTTCACATCAATCGCTATTAGAGTGACTCTAACAAGCACTTGGAGCCCTGGTGGCGCAGTGGTTAAGAGCTCGGCTGCTAACCAAAAGGTGGGCAGTTAGAATCCACCAGCCACTCCTTGGAAACTCTATGGGGCAGTTCTACTCTGTCCTATAGGGTCACTATGAGTCGGAATCGACTTGTCGGCAATGGGTTTTGGGTTAACAAGCACTATGGATACTCCAAACCTTACTGAACAAGATTACCTGAAAACAATAAAAAGTGAAAAATTTAGTCCATTCCAAAAAAGGTGGTTATATATAGTATCTTAAATAGAAAATTAAGGACTGACTCTAGCCACTAGGCCAGCATTTTCCAACTGTGGGTTTCAGTCATGAAACCATTCCTTCATTCAAGAAATATTTATTGAATACCTACTACATACTAGTCATTGTTTTGGGCACTTGGAGTACACATTAGTGAATTAAATCCCTGTCATCATGGAACTTACATTCTAGTGATGTGGGGAGGAGCCACAAATACGAAGCACTATCAATCTATCTATATCATATATATATATGTATGTATGTTAAAAATACATAAACGTTATGGAAAAAAATTAAGCAGGGTAAAGTGGAAAGAAATGGGGTGGACAGGTAGGTTTCAATTTTAAATGGTTAGGCCTCATTGAGAAGATAACATTTGATCAAATATGTAAAGGAGGCAAGGGAGTTAGCCATACAAATATCTGGCAGAAGAGCTTTTCCTGGCAGAGAGAACAATGGGTGAAAAGGTCCTATGGTGGGCATGTGTAGGGTACATTCAACAAACAACAAGGGGGCCAACGTGGCTGAAGCTGAGAGCGAGCCATAGAGGATGAAGTCAGAGAGGCAATGGGGGTCCAGATCATGTAG